TATACTTATATAATAAGGTGTACCATTTATGAAAGGAGATTCTATTTTGAGCAACATAATATAATATCATATCTATACTTATATAAAAGGAGATTCTATTTACTACATTTACTATCCAGAAAAGTCAACTGCATTAAATGCCATTACTATTTTGGTATTATAATATTTTATTTATTTAATTGATTTATTTATTTCTTTTATTTTAAAAAAGTAAGTATAATAAAAAGATTTTAATAATAAAAAAATCAAATACCAAATAAAAATGTACACTTTGACTTATTTGATTATATTTGGTATTTGATTATACCAAATATATTCCTATTTAGTATATACATTAAATACTTACTAAAGTATTTATTTGTTTTATTTGTCAAAGTTAAGTATAGATTTGTTTATATTATCAAATCATAAAAAAATATTAAATCCATATTGTAAAAAAAAAATCATATCTATATATATAATAAGAATTAACATTTATCAAAATTAGTAGGTCAATTTATGGTCCAAGTCTGGTTTGCATTAATTATTTTCCAAAAATGGCAAGTTTCATGTCCTTTTCACACGCCTCATTAATTACACCGAATTAATTATCATAAAATCATTCCATATGAGCTGTTTTTGGTTACACGCCATTGCATTAATTTTGGCCTAATAAATAGCGAGCATTCACAATTTGGACTCAAATTTTTCCCTTTTTTGTGGAGGGATTTAATTCATTGTACATGATTGATGCAAATCCTTTTTTATGTAATCCAAATCCGTACAATACACTAATATCCGTACAATACACGTAGTATCTGTTATAAACCTGTCGAAAATAATTTAATATATACTGGTATAAATCTATTGAAAATAATTTAATATATACTGGTATAAATCTATTGAAAATAATTTAATATATACTGGTATAAATCTGCCAAAAACTAATTAAAAATTAATTTAATATTTAATGTATCTATACTTATATACAGAGACCATCCCATTTACTAGAATTAGTAGGAAGAAAAGTCAAAGGTAATTAATGCATTCTATTTCGATCTTAATTTTTATTTAATTATTTTTTCCCATAAAAACGGTACAAAAAAAATGTACGTAAAACAAAAAAAGGCAGATTTGATCAGATGATAAAATCATGATTTTACCAAAAATAAATCAGATGTCAAACCTAAATTGAAGCGTTTAGTTGTCTATATAGATATTGATTTACGTAAATCAATACATTTAATATTTATAGTTTGTGTAGATTTAAAATTCCTTCTTATCTTTGTACAAAAAATCTTATCTAATTGTATGAAAAATATGATCTGATTTGTTCCTCTACATTTAATGTGATTTCCGTATATCAAGATTTTTTATTAAAAATCTTAACAGATATTGATTATACTCTACTAATTATAAATTACAAATCTCAAAATATTGAGCTATCGTCTTCCTCACTTTCAACCTCCTGCGAAAAAAATATCCCCAATCAATCTTTCATTCAAAACAATGAATCAAGAATTTTGCTTAATCAAACAAGTTAATAGGTATAATAGACCTATGCTTACAGTTTTAATTGTAAGAATATTTTTACAAGACTGGGGCAACACGTACAAATCCTATCTCGAGTTGGTTCTGCACGATAAAACTGTAAGCCAAATTATTTTTACTTATTTTTTTTTATTTCGAAATATGAAACGTATATTTTTTATTTTTTTTATTTTATTTTTAAAATTTAGAATTTGCCTTATTTCTTCTAGAGATCGTGTATATATTTAGATATTTATATTATTTATGTTTTTTAAACAAATAATTTTTTATGATTGCTTTTTTGTATATGTTTAATTTGTGAGAATGACGAGTTGTCCAATAATCAAACTCATAATGTTGTGTACAAGGAAGTCTTTAATAATATATGATTGTTTATTTGTCAAATACTATTTTATTGTACAATTTTCCTACGTATCATAAAATTTTTATTTAATATCGCATCCTATAATATAATATTCCCTAAATAAATATATCCCGTGCCTCGCACGGGTCACGTACTATATATATTTCATACATTTTTCTTTATTCATGTATATAATTATAAGTCTGGATAAATAGCCTTAAAATTGTGCACCCTGTGCATCGCACGGGATCTGCACTAGTAATTTTATAATGATTCTACTACACTATTTAACAATATTCCTTTTTTATTATATAAAAAAATAATAATTAAATATTATATGGTGAACAACAATAAGTAAAACTGTTACTTTCTCTTATATCAAGGAATAAATTTATATGCTAAAATTAAATTTTTATTAGTATAAATGTTGTAGTGAGATAATATATTAATTATTTTACAAGCTAGTCCTAACATGCTCATATTTAATGTTTTACAAGATGTAGAAAAAAACTTATAATAACTCTATTGTTTTTTATACTTAAACGTTGATTAAAAGAGGTAAAAATTCCTAATTTTTTAGACCTAAACGTTGATTAACACCATAAATTGAGAGTCTATATTTAGTAAAATTCTTAATTGTAATAAAAAAATTATTTTTGCTATATTTTAGAATATCTTTAAATTCATTATAAAAAAAAAAGAAAAAAAAACTACAATGAAAAAAGCAAGTCAGCTATATATCGATTTGTTGTACTCCTCAAATCACATTCACAATTTGGCTACAAGGAAAGGAAACTCATTGATTAAAATATTATTTTGTCAGTAGTCTTAATGTACAAGAAATTTTAAGACTCCACTTGAATATTATAAAACTTTTATTGAACATTGTACAATTTTCTTGCGTATTATAAACTTTTATTGAATATTGCATCTTATAATATAATATTCTCCAAATAAATATATCCCGTGCTTCGCACGGGTCACGTACTATATATATCCCGTACATTTTTCTTTATTCATGTATATAATTATAAGTCCGGATAAATAGCCTTAAAATTGTGCACCCCGTGCATCGCACGGGCTTTGTACTAGTTTACTGAAAAAGGCATGAGTCACCTACTTGGGGAGAATTATTTTTCACGCCAAAAGGAAAAGAGCCGTGAGTCTAGGACTTCTTTGTGAGGGACTCACACAACCGAATATATTAGCGGAGGAGAATTATATTTTTGCGGGGGGATTTTATTTTTGCGAGGAGAACAGAGAGAAAGGCAGAAGAAACTCACGCAGACAGACGGAGGGAAAACACAAAGGAAGAGGAAGCCACACGCGGAGGGAAGCCGCACACGCACACGAGGGAGATATTAATTCTCTCTTTTATCTTTATTTATTTTCACTAGTATGTTAGGCTAGATTTTTATCCAGTTTAAGGGGATGTTTGAACCCTAATTCTAATTTGTCTATGAATTGGATGATCTCTTATCGTCAGTTAATCGAGACCCCGTATTTATTTTTGTTGATGAGTTGATTCATGCTATCTGTGTCGAATGTTTATGAATTATGAGTGTTTGATTTAGTTTGGCCGGCTAGGTTGAATGTACATAGTTTGATTGCTAGATTCGGGACTTTAATCCGTAATTGTTATTGTCTCGTTTCATTAGTAGTAAACTAGGGGTCGTGCATCTCTAGGGCAGCGTGAACATAAGTTAAATGGTCCGAGCTTTTGTGTCAGTTGCTTAGACTAATCTATTTTCCTAGAAATTAATGCTGCTAGTGCACTAAATCTAGAGAGCTTATTCTAGGTTGTCCACTAGTTAGGTTTAGTCGAAGAGCCTATTTTGATTAAATATTCGGTAAGGGAAAATTCGGTTAACAGAGCTTGTTGTTAGCTAGGGTTGGTAATTCGTTGGCAATTTAGAGAAAGCGTCGGAATTAATTAACGGTAGATTTAGATTGGGTGATAACTGAACCAAAAACTGGACTTCTCTTATTTTATTTGATTTTTATTTTATTTTTAGTTTTATAAAACCAATCCCCTCTCTTTGTTGCTTTCTTAGTTTAGTTCAATTAATATAAAATTATCACAGTTTAATTCCCACTCCTCGTGGGATCGACCCTTACTCGCCACTACTACTAGTTAGTAGAGGTTAGTCGAGGAAAATAATTATAAATTTAAATTTTCCGCGTCGCGACGCGCGGTCAGTGATAAAGTGCAGCGTGTTGTTTGTAATGTGTAACGTTTTGTTATATAAAGTGCAACATGTTGATTTATAAAGTGCATTACTGAGTTTTTATACTCAAATACCTTAAACAATCGAAATAATTTTTTTTATATTAATTTTATTTTTAATATGTTAGTAATTTTTTTTATTATTTTTATGTAATTCATGGTTGAAAAATTTCGAGTTCGGTCAGTTTCGATCCATATCGTGTAATCTAATAATCGTGATAAAGTGCAATGTGTGGTTCTGTAAAGTGCAACGTGATTCTTTATAAAGTGCATCATGTTGATTTATAAAGTGTATTACTAAGTTTTTATAACTATAAAATTAATAAAAAATAATAATTCAGCTGAAATATAAAATATCGATCCGAAAATTTTAGTTTGTTTATTGTGCAATTATATAGTTATTAACGTGCAATCCATACAATTATAATGTCCACTTGCAATACATAAAAATATATAAATCATAATAATAATATTTTTCATATAGCTAGACTTCATTTTTTTTTTATCGAAATAATCAAAATTTATACATTTTAAAATTGTAAAAAAAACTTTACTTCAGTTATAATTATCGAAGTCAAAAATAACTTAAATCTTAAAAATAATTGAAATGTATAAGAAAAAACACAAAAATTATGTTTATTTCAATTTTTTTTTTTTCGGTACAAAACAAGGAAGTTATTTCAATTTTGATCGCTAATGTGCGGTCTGACACACATTAATGTGCAATATGTCAAACACTAATGTGCGGTGTTTCAGTCGATAATGTGCGGTCCGACATACATTTATTATGAGTCTTATATTATTTAATATTTTATATTATTTTTATTTTATTATTATTTAAAATATATGTATAGCAAGCAAGAAAGCCGATATTCTAAAAGTTCTAAAGTCTTCTCCGCTTTAGCAACCCCCAAAATCCTTTGCCGTCTGACAGAAAATGAATTCCTGAATTCTTTTCCAGTTTTTTTGAAGATGACACAGTGGGTAGCCCTCACAAGCTCGCTTGCTTTCCTGAACCGGATTGCACTGATCATATTAGGCAGATATAAATACATAAAAATAATATTTTTTATTAACTTTATAAAATTTTAGATTTAGACCCCTACACATAGTCAAATTTTTTAAAATTGCTAATAAGCCCCTACACATTATCAAATTCTCAAAATATAATCAATCCCTATTTTTTATTTATTTATTTTTTTTTTGCAGCTTGTCTTCTATTACAGGAGATTGCCATGGCCGGCCGCTCATGTCGGGATCGCCGACGAGATGTTCCATCCGATCGACCGCGGGTGTGACGATGCTGTGAGTGGCTCTCCGCTGCCGCCGTGAGGGGTTCTGGAATCCGGTCAATCGCGACCATCGCCGTGCGTCTGTTCCAGTCGGGCTCGCCGGCAAGCTTTGGACTCCGGTCGGCCGCGACCGCCACTCCATATTGATACTAAAGCGGCGGACATAGATGATGGCGTGGCTAGATCGGCGGACATGGACGACGAATGAAGATGTCGGCCTCCGTGACGGAAACATTTCTGAACGGCGGCGCCGGCGGGAGAGAGATTCTTATGGCGGCACTGGTGGCGGAGCTGGAGATGGTCCGGCGGGAAGGCCACTGCGTGCGTGTTTGTGTGTGTAGTGTCTGTGTTGTGCGTGAATAATAGATCCGTGTGTGTGTTGTGTATGAAATAAGATGGGTCGGTGGGTGGGGTAGCTCATAGGTGGTGGTAGGTGTGTTCACGGTCCGGTTTTAACCGGAGAAAACCGTCAATCCGGACCGCGGATCGGTTAAATGGTCAGTTAAAAAAGCCTTAATATATCCAGTGGTTAATTTTTTTAAAAATCCGGAATAACCAGTCCGGTTAACGGATTACCTGCGGCAAACTGTCGATTTAACCGGACCGGACCGGTAAATATTAAAAAACTACAACAAATATATATATATATATATATATATATATATATATACACATTCAGTCATTCACTATGGCCGACAAATATAATACATTGACTATGAATGCTTTGCTCTTATTATTTCAAGTGTATAAATTGACTGAAAAATGAATGTTTGCTTGTTCAATTTGCATAATTTAATCTTCATCATTTTTGTTTTTATGTTTATGGGAGGAAATGTGTATTTTTATGCTTATGAGACGAATTGTGTACTTTTTATTTCATTATTTTTGTTTTTCTTAATTTTTAAGCCAAAATAATCTCTTTAGCGCCCAAAATTGAAAAATAAAAATTAAGTCCAAAATGAAAAAAATAAAAATTGAAGGCCCAAAACAAGGATTTTGGATTTAACCGGTTAACCGCCAAACCGGACCGTCCAATGCGGTTCAGATTGTAGTCGGTTAAAAAATAAAACCGGTCCGACTATGGACAAGAAACAAAATTAACCGTTAGGTCCGGTTTGGTCATGGTTTGGGCTAAAATCGGACCAATCCGGACCGTGAACACCCCTAGGTGGCGGGTTGAATTTAATTAGGTGAGTTATTATTAGGTGGGGCCCATGGGTTAATTGAGTAGAAAAATTACTACATTACCCTTAATGTGTTTAAAATATAAGATATTTTTATAGCTGTTGGATCGTCCGATCCGATGACTAAGATTTATTCTTATTTCTCTCATTAAGCACCATTCTCATGTGAGCGCGACCCTATATATATATATATATGGATATAGATATGTCTATTTTAGTGATTCGTAGTTAAATATGAAATTTTATCAGGCAAAACTTTTAAAATTATTAACTATTTGTCTAGTTTAATTTGTAGATATTTTTAAAAATTCAATAGTTTTTCTATTTGTTATCAACATACATCAAATTAATATTCTATTAGAGCATATAAAATAAAAGGTATTTTGTGCAAATACAAGTTAAATTATCTATTAATCAATATTATTATTTATCAACTAAAATAAACTAATCTATGAAACTCTATTATATAACATGTTGAAAATACTATATTATTCGCAATATACATATATAGGGTCGCGCTCCCGTGAGAATGATTTCTATGAGAGAAATAAGAACGAAACGTAACCATTAGATCGGATGATCTAATGGCTGGAAAAAGAAATCAAAATTATACCATCATTAAGGGTACTATGGACATTTACTTACAAACTAATTATCCACCACATTAATGGGTCCCACCCCAATTAAATCCCAATTAAACGTTCCCATTCCCAGAACCCAATTTGTCACCACCTCTCTCTCTCTCTCTCTCTCTCTCTCACACACACACATACATGTTACACACACACACACACACACACACACACACACACACACATAGCACACATTCGCCGGAAAAATATACACACTCAACGGCGGACCCTTCAGCATCCATAGTCGCCGCCGCCTTCGTCACGCTTTGCCGCCGTCACGACTCCGCCTATTCAAGCCTCCGTTGTCGCTGCGCCACCGCCATCGCCACCGCGGAACCTCCCCTGAAATTTTCCCGTCGTTTCCTCAGTCCCCTCCAGTGATTTCATTAGCCGTCCCGATTCAACTCCAGCAACCTTCCATTCTCGGCCAACCTTGACATATCCGACAGCCCTCCGCCGCCTCCGCCTAACTCCGGCGACCTCCATTGACGACCAATTCGACCTTCTGCCAACCCCGAACAAGAAGTTCTTGGTGCGGTTGAGTAAACGGTCAGAGTCCTGTCACCGATTGTGTGAAATTGTCAAATTGTCCGCAGTCCCGATCACCTGCAACTAAAATTGAAATAGGTTTTTTTTTTAAAAAAAAATTAGAAAGGGTTCAAGGACCTAATTGCAATTTTATAAATTTTAATTACATTTCAATTCAATCCTCGGGTGAAATATGAAATTATTGAAAGTTAATATTTTTTATATATATTTTTTATACGCATAATTAATTAATAAATAAAATGATAAATATAAATAATATTATATAATAAATAATAAACAATAAAAATATTTTAATCATTTAGTGTAATTATGTGCTTAATGATATCTACTAAAACTAATTTTCGAATACACATAATCTACTTAAGATCATCTAAAGTATTGCACTTTATATATCAGTATGTCGCACTTTATAAGACAGCACGTTGCACTTTATTAAATAAAACGTTGAACTTTATCGTCACAAACCACATTTGACGTAATTAGCTCTCGCCAAAATACTACAAATCATAATTATAAAAATTGGATCTACATAAAATTTTAACATTCATCTCATCATATGTAAAAAAAAGAAAATGAAATAAAAAAAAGCATGCTACCGTACCAAATTTACAGTGCACTTTATGTATCAGTACGATGCATTTTGTAAAACAATACGTTGCACTTTATAAAATAACACGTTGTACTTTATAACCACGCTCCACAATTAACACCAAAACTAAAAATTAAACATTAATTAACGTTGACAAATAAATATAATTTTATAATATAAATAATAAATCATATATATTTTTTAGATTAATTTGGTTAATTGATCGAATAAATCGACCGTTAAGTCAGTTTTAATTTGGCGTGGATCATACTATTAAACATGTCTGCAATCGGATGCACATTATTTATATACTAATTGCGCTTTAATGACTATCGGATTGCACATTTCGGTTCGATTATTTGATTATATTTTCAAATCACGATTATTTCGATTATTATATAAAAATAATTCGATTATTTCTAATCCGATGTCGTATTTATTTTATTATTATTTTTATTTTTTAACCGAAATAACTGAATTATATACAAAAATATTATTATTATACTATGTTTTAGTAAAAATATTATTTATTTTTTGATTAAAAATAATAAAATATTACATGTTAAAGTACTGATTAAAATTCAATTAATTGTATATTTGACCCTTGAATTCCATTGTAATAAGCAAAAATTTATAAAATTGCTATTAAGTCTTACCATATCTAATTCACAAATGCAACAGTAATGTGCAACGCGTTTATCATTAATGTGCGATGCACTGAATATTAAAGTGCAATGCACTGAATAATATTGTGCAATTATTAAATTCAGTTCGAAATTGCGAATTTCGGTTCGGTTATCTTTTTTTGCTTTGAAATACTCGGTTATATTAATTCGATGTCATTTTTTTTATTATTTGTATTACTTAAATAACCGGTCGGTCAAACTATATAAATATTATTGACATTTTTTTTTATATTTTTATATAACATATTATTTATTAACAACCACATATTAAATAAAATATTGAATATTAATTTTAGTTTTGTTAATCACATATTTGCCCATGAATTAAATTGAAATATATTAAAAAATCTGAAATTGCAATCAAGTCATTGAGAATTATCAAATTTACAACTTTATGCCCCTAAATATCAAGTCATTGCAATCAAGCGCAACTCCGCTAATCTCATCTCTCAAGCCGACATCTCTGCCGCCGCCGACCACCGTCGCCAGATTTTCGATGCAATTTCCGGCTTGCCGTCATCGCGTCCACCGTGAATCAATGTGCGACGACCATGACAACGAGGTGGAGAAAATAACAAAATCGCACCAGATCCTCCTCCCTTCTCCCGTCGCCGCCTTCACCGGCGCAGTCCGCCGCCCAATGCCACCTCAGCTCCCTACACGGACAACAACGCACCACCACTCAGATCACCATCATCCTGCCGGACATCTCCATCACCTATGCACTCTGATGAAGAATAGCTGGCTTGGACACCTGCGCGGCCATCGAAGCTTACAAAGATGGTGGCCGGTCGCCGAGGACGTCATCTTTCTCCAGGATATCCCCGGCGTTTACTGTCTCCGGCGGAGCTCCTAACGTCGGCCGCCGTGTGTGGTGTGTGTGTGTGTGTGTGTGTGTAGATCTGAAATTGTGAAAAAGAAAGATTGAATGTGATGAAAGGTAAAACGTGTCACTAATTGTGAGTGGGTCCCACATAAATATATGTGTATTGACCAACATACCCTTAATTATTGGTCAAATGCACATATTTGACCATACTATGATCAAACAATTAAAAGAATGCCATTAATGATTGACTATTTTTAATTAATTTTGACTTCATCATGACCATTGATGTAGTGGATCCAATGATCCAGGTTTATTCTTATTTCTTTCATTGTGAGTCATTCTCATGTGATCCCAACTATATATATATATATATATATATATATATATATATATATATATATATATATATATATATATATATATATATATATATATATATATATATATATATATATATATATATATATATATATATATATATATATATATATATATATATATATATATATATATATATATATATATATATATATATATATATATATATATATATATATATATATATATATATATATATATATATATATATATATATATATATATATATATATATATATATATATATATATATATATATATATATATATATATATATATATATATATATATATATATATATATATATATATATATATATATATATATATATATATATATATATATATATATATATATATATATATATATATATATATATAGAAATTGG